TATTTGATGACGCTGTGCTCAGTCAGCGGGCAATATGCCGGGTTAATGCCCTCCTCCCAGCCAATCAGAATCAAGCATTCTTAAACGAAGTAGAATAAGGCGCATTACATTCTGGGTGGGGGTCACATGATACACCTCTTCATTTACATTCATACATTCACTCTGCTGCACTCAGGCTGCTAACAGCTATTTCCAACACAAATTTGTTGTTCTCAATGTAGCATTTGGTCAGTTGGCCTCTGATGTCCTAATGTCTGGCAATCAAAAATATGCAGAAACGAACAGATCGTGTCAAACACAAATACCGAAATATAGTCTGTTGAGATTAATTAAAGTATGTCAAATGTATTCCCTACTCTGAAACTCTTCTCTGTACCACCTCTTCAGCCTTAAACATTTCAACTTCCCAACCTAACCCCACCCTAACACCAAAATCAAGTGTGAACAAGAGGAAGAAGACAGAACTGGACAAAATGTCTTCACACTCAAAGTCTAAAACTTCATACAGATAAAACAACATACACAAACACGCATGTCTCTGACCTTTCAGTTGGTGTTCATGCAGAGAATCTGTCAGATTCCTCAGAGAGAGCAGAAGTGCTTCTGTCTGCTTTGCACTCCATGACACGTTTTCACCACACTCTACCACCTGTTGGTTAATATCAGACAGTACAGCTGTTTTGTTCCCCTGACAATGTGGTATCATATGAGAACAACTGAAATAAAAAATATCACACACACCTTTGAACAAACACAATGTGAGCTACATTTATGGGCATGTTACAACAGCTTTTCTGGTAGGACCAACAGTTTACCTTGAGATTATGTGAGCTGCCATTCTGAATCAAAGTTTCATCTGCGGAGTACAAGACTGCGAAAAAACACACACAGCCTATTATATCCAACTTTTTATCTTTCCATGATTTTTTAGCCACATGCAGTATACATGTACTGTGTAACTCATGATCAAACAAACATATAAAACTGAGAAATTACCTGCAAGTGAGCAAAGCCAAATAAGTGCTCCCTTTAAAGCCATGGCCACTGAATTTGAATTTTTCTGACCCAGAACTGGAGGCGGAAAGCTGTGACAGGAGAATTTGTTGAGTCTGTGGGGGCAAAGTTTACAGTATTGGCCAATATTGTGGTCTGCAGCCAATATTGGAGTCACAGGTTCAACATTTTACAAACTTCCATTTCAAAACTTTCACTTCTATCCTATGATGTAACATGAACTTTGGCTGTGCAGAGGTAGATGTCTTTAGGTTTTGAGTACAATTCCATTTTATATTTGTGAAGTTTCTTTGCAACTGACATACAAATTACAATATTTCCAGGTGTTGTTGTTCTGGTTTCTTATAATGTTTTTCTAATAATTAATCATTGTTCATTGTGCTCTGTACTGTATGTCCCTGCTTTGTACTGATGGGGGAGCTGGTAGTACATGCTAACCAATTGTATTACCCATTGTACTGTTCGCCTTCACACAGGATGCCACCCCTATTTCTTAGTTGTGAGCCCATTATGGAGCCAAATGTCAGTATGAAATCTACACACACACAACAGCCCTTCAGACACACTGGATGACTCAGTGTCAGTCAGTAAGTTGTGCTACGAAGGATGACTGCGTAAATAATTCACTGTGGATGTTATTCATTATGGATGTCTGACAATCTGGGAGAAAATGAATTATTGAAGCTTTTAGGAAGACTGATTGAGCTCATTAACACAGAGAATTGCCTTTTTATGTTTGATTTGAGGAACAAAGATTAGTCCTCGAAATGGACCTCAAGAGCTGTCATTATCGTCTTACCAACATTTCCTCTCACATGCCTTTCTGTGTAGAATTTTCCCCTTGTGATCAAATAAATAATTGAAAGTGGCGTTTTCTTTAATGTAGTGATGATATGTTATTCACAGATCCATGCAGCATACAAAATTCAGTTGATGATTACATTTATTGAATGAATTAAAAAAAAAAAAAAAATTAATTCAAGCTTGTATCCTTAACATTCTGCATGTTGCATTGGTTCAGAGGACTAGATGGCAGAGTTGTTATGGAAGCTTGTGTAGAAGCCTACTGTTTATTTGCATCAGCCTTTGTAGAATTTGGCAGGAATGGAATCTAATATTATAGGTATGTTTTCATTAACGTTTAATCACCTGAAAATAAGAATTGTTTTTATTATAAAAACAGTAGGAGTGGGTCCTCTTCCATGGAGTCTGCCATGTTGAATGTAACCGAACAAGCTTGGAAGGCTGAGCTGTATACAGATGGCCGCTATATACACACTACACTACACACTGGTCCTTTAAAGTATAACCCCACCAATTTTACACAGTCTGAACATACTAAAGTTGTATAACTTTGTTGTGGCTCCAGAGCAAGCTTTGGGAAGTCTGATAAAATTACATTACATAGAATGCCCCAAGTAACATCACTTGAGGCATTCTATGTAATACAGGTTTCAGGTTTTGACAAGGAAGAAGAATGATTGTAAGGAACAGGATTTGTCTCTGGTTCTGGTGAACCAATGTTGATTATGAGTCTGACAGTGTTATAGGAGTGCAATGCTAAATTGGTGAGGTAGAGTTTCTAAGGTTTGCAGGAACGGCTCTTGAGAGGTGACAGTTTTGTGCCAAATGTTGTCAATTATAACACATTAATTTATAGTAAACATTATGTGTTAAATGGAAATGAACACGTATAATTTATTGATCATTTATGGCCACTTTTTAGACTAAGTCAGATTAAGACATGTATTTTGAAAAATGTGATTTAATTTAGAAATTTCTGTTTAGTGTCTCATGTAATTGAGTTAAGATATCTTAATTTTGGGTCTTTTTTAAACAAATATTGCTATATGTGATTGTTAGCGATTAAATCAGCATATATTCCTGCCACGCAAGTCTTTATGCCAACCTATGAATATTTCTTTAGATCAGCCCCTGAAGGTATGGTTCAATTTAGGTACAAAACTAACTAGAGCACCGTGGTACAACCACTAAACCCGCCAATTAAAGCAAAAAACAAGGAAATCTGAAAGCAAATGGGCACTCGAAATTATTAGAATATGCTTAGGTTTGGCAAGATAATCTTAAATTATTAGAAAGCTCCGGTAATGCCAAGAAGAGCCTATTCTTCAGGCACTAATAGAAGAAAATAAAACAACCCTTAGTTTTCCTCTTTTCAGCAACTGTAGCCAGGCTGACAGAAGAGTCAACAGCTCTATTTGAGCCACATATCCCCATAAACTTAGTAGGCAAATGAGGGCTTTATTGAAGCCTTTTATAATAAATTATTACTTTTAGATAGAAAATTAATCACCAAATTCCCTCAACAGCTATCACTGGCTCCAAGTTCAAGGTACTTTAACTAATGTAAACTCTTGAAACTCTGTTTTTTTTCAGTCTTTCATCGTTAAACTTCAATAAATTCTTCAACAAAAGCCAGTCAAACCTGTCTGGTTAGACCCGATTCCCGACTTAGGCTTTGCTTAAAAGAAGTTTCTACCCCCTTAATTGACACTTCTCTACTAGATATGATTAATCTTTCTTTTATTTGTTAGGTAGGATATGTACACAGTCCTTTAAAGTAGCTTAATTAACCCCTTCTTTTAAAACCCACTCTTTAACAGGGTTTTAGCAAACTATAGGACCGATTTCTCAACCTCCCCTTTCTCTCTAAAGATTATGGGAGAAAGTAGTCGCCAGACACGGTTTGTGCAACTTTCTACATAAAACAAAGCTTATTTGAGGATTTTTTCATTCAGGATTTACAGTTTCATCCACAGCACAGGGGAGACAGCTCTGGCTTAGAAAGTTTAAGGTGACCTTTTGATTGCTTCATTTTGACACCATTGGACATAATATTTCTTTTTACAGAGACTTAGCATTCAAATTGGGCATTTAAAAAAAACGCACTAAAGCTGCGTTTAGGTCAATACTTATCAGTACCGTTCTCAGTTTGTACACGTTAACGATGAATCTTTTCCATTAAATACTTACAGTTAGGTCATGGGAGTTCGACAAGGGTTCTGTACTTGGACAATTATCACGGCTAGAGTTCGACCGGCCCAGGAGCAAGACACTCAGAACAGGGGGATGGGGAGCAATTTAATGGAGCCCCTTTATTCCACATGCACACACACCCACACACACACACACACACACACACAGGAGCACAGGAGAGAAAAGGGTTAACTGGGGAGCAGTGCGCAAGAAAATCACAAGTTAACTTGTAGTAGTAGTAAACACCTCAAAGGGGCCACAAAAAGTTTAAACCACTGAGTTGGCTGAAACAATCTGGCAAGGATGAAAGGATGACCGGGGTTTTCTTGAAGGCTGAAGGACTAGAATGGATTGAGGGGAGCAGGTGGAGCAGCACACAGGTTGAGGGGAGGTGGAGCCGCCACCCTCAGACACACAACAGGGAAGGAGGAGAAGCAAGGGTGCAGTGGAGGGGAGCCAGAGCCATGACACCATTACTATTTACTTTATATATGCTCCCTTCTAGCGCAAATTATTAGGAATCCACTCCATTAACTTTCATTGCTATGGCAGATTGATACGCAGTTAATCTATCGATCAAGTCCGATGAATTAAATTCAATTATTCTAATACAACATGTTCTTAAGGACATAAAAATCCTTGGATGAGCTGCAATTTTCTGATTTTAAACTCAGAAAAAAACAAAAATTCTTGTACCTGGGCCCCAAAAAACCTTTAGAAACACTCACCGGTCTAAAGATATAGTTACTCTAGATGGGGCATTACCTTGGCCTCTTAGCACCACTGTCAGGAATCTTGGCGTATTATCTTTGATCAGGACATGTCATTAATTCCCAACATAAAGGCAAAACCCCTAGGACTTGCCTTCTTTATTTAGGCAATATTACAAAAATTAAGGACACATCCTGGTCACAGACGGATGCGCAGAAACAACTAATCCATGCATTTATTACTTCTAGGGCTGGATTTACTGCAACGTCTTTTATTATTCAGGGCTACCCCCCAATGAGTCCATTAATACGCTCCAATTAATTAAGGAACCGCTGCAAGCACGAGTTACTGACAGGAATAGGAAAAAGGAGATTTCACATCTTCTCCTGTACTAGCTTCTCTACATTGGCTCCCTGGCTAAAATTTAGAATAAGGGTATTTTAAACCCTCCTCCTCACCTATTAAAGCTCTTCATGGTTCAGGCCC